CTGACACTGAGCCTGGTCATGTCCAACACACTGACACTCAGCCTGGTCATGTCCAACACACTGACACTGAGCCTGGTCATGTCCAACACACTGACACTCAGCCTGGTCATGTCCAACACACTGACACTCAGCCTGGTCATGTCCAACACACTGACACTCAGCCTGGTCATGTCCAACACACTGACACTCAGCCTGGTCATGTCCAACACACTGACACTCATCGTGGTCATGTCCAACACACTGACACTCAGCCTGGTCATGTCCAACACACTGACACTCAGCCTGGTCATGTCCAACACACTGACACTCAGCCTGGTCATGTCCAACACACTGACACTCAGCCTGGTCATGTCCAACACACTGACACTGAGCCTGGTCATGTCCAACACACTGACACTCAGCCTGGTCATGTCCAACACTGACACTCAGCCTGGTCATGTCCAACACACTGACATCAGCTGGTCATGTCCAACACACTGACACTGAGCCTGGTCATGTCCAACACACTGACACTCAGCCTGGTCATGTCCAACACACTGACACTCAGCTGGTCATGTCCAACACACTGACACTCAGCCTGGTCATGTCCAACACACTGACACTGAGCCTGGTCATGTCCAACACACTGACACTCAGCCTGGTCATGTCCAACACAACTGACACTCAGCCTGGTCATGTCCAACACACTGACACTCAGCCTGGTCATGTCCAACACACTGACACTGAGCCTGGTCATGTCCAACACACTGACACTCAGCCTGGTCATGTCCAACACACTGACACTCCATCCTGGTCATGTCCAAACACACTGACACTCAGCCTGGTCATGTCCAAACCACTGACACTGAGCCATGGTCATGTCCAACACACTGACACTCAGCCTGGTCATGTCCAACACACTGACACTCAGCCTGGTCATGTCCAACACCACTGACACTCAGCCGGTCATGTTCAAACAAAACCCGGTCATGTCCAAACCACTGACACTGAGCCTGGTCATGTCCAACACACTGACACCAGCCTGGTTCATGTCCAACACAACATCCCTGGTCATGTCCAACACACTGACACTGAGCCTGGTCATGTCCAACACCAGCCTGAGCCTCATTGTCCAACACACTGACACTCAGCTGGTCATGTTCCAACACACTGACACTCAGCCTGGTCATGTCCAAAACTGAACTGAGCCTGGTCATGTCCAACAACCTGACACTGCCTGGTCATGTCCAACACAGACACTCAGCCTGGTCATGCCAACACACTGACACTCAGCCTGGTCATGCCAACAACCACACTGACCTGGTCATGTCCAACACACTGACACTCAGCCTGGTCATGTCCAACACACTGACACTCAGCCTGGTCATGTCACAACACACTGACCTCGCTGTCCAACACACCACTGAGCCTGGTCATGTCCAACCACTGACACTCAGCCTGGTCATGTCCAACACACTGACACTCAGCTGGTCATGTCCAACACATGCACTCAGCCTGGTCATTCCACACACTGACACTGAGCCTGGTCATGTCCAAACACTGACACTCAGCCTGTTCCAACCACTGACACTCAGCCTGGTCATGTCCAACACACTGACATCTGAACCGCACAGGCTGTTCAACCACTGACACTGAGCCTGTCATGTCCACACACTGAACACTGGTCTGTCCATGCCACACTGACACTCACCTGGCATGTCCAACACACTGACACTGAGCCTGGTCATGTCCAAACACACCCAGCCTGGTCATGTCCAACACACCTGACACTGAGCCTGGATGTCCAACACTGACACTCGTGGTCATGTCATCCCACACTGACACTCAGCCTGGTCATGTCCAACCACACTGACACTCAGCCTGGTCATGTCCAACACCTGACACTCAGCCTGGTCATGTCCAACACACACTCACCTGGTCATGTCAACACACTGACCTGAGCCTGGTCATGTCCAACACACTGAACTAGCTGTCCATGTCCACACCGCTGAACCACCACACCTGTTCATGTCCAACACACTGACACTCAGCCTGGTCATGTCCAACCACTGACACTCAGCCTGGTCATGTCCAACAACTGACACTAGCCTGGTCATGTCCAAACACACCAGCCTGGTCATGTCCAACACACGACTCAGCCTGGTCATGTCCAACACACTGACAATCAGCCTGTATGTCCAACACGAACTGACACTCGCCTGGTCATGTCCAACACACGACAGCCTGGTCATGTCCAACACACTGACAATCAGCCTGGTCATGTCCAACACTGACAATCAGCCTGGTCATGTCCAACACACTGAACTCACTGGTCATGTCCAACACACGTACACTCAGCCTGGTCATGTCCAACACACTGACACTGACCGGTCATGTCCAACACGACACTCAGCCTGGTCATGTCCAACAACCTGAAGCCTGGTCATGTCCAACACTGACAACGCCTGGCATGTCCAACACCTGACACTGAGCCTGGTCATGTCAACACACACATCCAGCCTGGTCATGTCCAACACACTGACACTGAGCCGGTCCTGTCCAACCACTGACACTCACCTGGTCTGTCCACACACTGACAGCTGGTCATGTCCCAACACTGACACTCAGCCTGGTCATGTCCAACACACTGACACTGAGCCTGGTCATGTCCAACACAGACACTGAGCCTGGTCATGTCCAACACCTGACACTCAGCCTGGTCATGTCCAACACACTGACACCAGCCTGGTCATGTCCACACACTGACACTGCAGCCTGGTCATGTCCAACACACTGCACTAGCCTGTCAGTCCAACAACTGACCTCAGCCTGGTCATGTCCAACACACTAAAACCTGGTCATGTCCCAAAACACTGACAATCAGCCTGTCTGTCCAACACTGACAATCAGCCGTCATGTCCACACCTGAAACTCCTGGTCATGCCACACACTGACTCAGCCTGGCGGTCATAACAACTGACACTGAGCCTGGTCATGTCCAACACACTGACACTCAGCCTGGTCATGTCCAACACACTGACACTCAGCCTGGTCATGTCCAAAACACATGACACTCAGCCTGGTCATGTCCAACACACTGACACTGAGCCTGGTCATGTCCAACACACTGACACTCAGCCCTGGTCATGTCCACACACTGACATCAGCCTGGTCATGTCCAACACACTGACAACTCAGCCTGGTCATGTCCACACACTGACACTCAGCCTGGTCATGTCCAACACACTGACACTGAGCCTGGTCATGTCCAACACACTGACATAAGCCTGGTCATGTCCAAACACACTTGACACTCAGCCTGGGCATGTCCAACACACTGACACTCAGCCTGGTCATGTCCAAACACTGACACTCAGCTGGTCATGTCCAACACACTGACCACCTGACACCTAGCCTGGTCATTCCAACAACTGACACTCAGCCTGGTCATTTCAACACACTGACACTGAGCCTGTCATGTCCAACACACTGACACTCAGCCGGTCCTGTCCAACACTACACCAGCCTGGTCATGCCACACACTGACCTCAGCCTGGTCATCCAACACACTGAACTGAGCCTGTCATGTTCCAACACACTGACACTCGCCTGGTCATGTCCACACACTGACACTGCCTGGTCATGTCCAACACCATGACACTCATCTGTCATGTCCAACACACTGACACTCCCGGTCATGTCCAACACACTGACACTCAGCCTGGTCATGTCCAACAACTGACACTCAGCCTGGCATGTCCAACACACTGACACTCAGCCTGGTCATGTCCACCACTTACACTGCCTGGTCATCACCACTGACACTGAGCCTGGTCATTGCCAACACACTGACACTCACCTGGTCATGTCCAACACACTGACACTGAGCCTGGTCATGTCCAACACACTGACACTCAGCCTGGTCATGTCCAACACACTGACACTCAGCCTGGTCATGTCCAACACACTGACACTCAGCCTGGTCATGTCCAAACACACTGACACTCAGCATGGTCATGCCAACACACTGACACTCAGCCTGGTCATGTCCAACACACTGACACGACACTCAGCCTGGTCATGTCCAACACACTGACACTGACACTCAGCCTGGTCATGTCCAACACACTGACACTCAGCCTGGTCATGTCCAACACACTGACACTGACACTCAGCCTGGTCATGTCCAACACACTGACACTCAGCCTGGTCATGTCCAACACACTGACACTGAGCCTGGTCATGTCCAACACACTGACACTGACACTCAGCCTGGTCATGTCCAACACACTGACACTGACACTCAGCCTGGTCATGTCCAACACACTGACACTGAGCTAGGTTCACTGCCAGCTTTTCTCCTCTAGTAGAGTTGGTAGTGGACCAGCCACAGGCAAGGTCAGGATGGGGTGGAAAACATCCAACACATGAAGGGGAGAAACCTAGCCTGGTTCCAGATCTGTCTGTGCTGTCTTGCCAACTCCTATGGTCATGTCTGTCTGTGCTGTCATGCCAACTCCTATGGTCATGTCTGTCTGTGCTGTCATGCCAACTCCTATGGTCAGGTCTGTCTGTGCTATCTTGCCAACACTTATGGTTGTTAACAATCCAAATGACCATAGGAGTCGGCAGGACAGCACAAACAGACCTGGGACCAGGCTAGGTTTTTCTGCTCTATTTGTTGGATGCTTTGTTTGTATCATAGCCAAAGATAATGCTTTTGTTATGACCATTATATACTGGCCACAGATAATGCTTTTGTTATGACCATTATATCCTGGCCACAGATAATGCTTTTGTTATGACCATTGTATCATAGCCAATGATAATACTTTTTTATGACCAGTGTATCATAGCCAAAGATAATGCTTTTGTTATGACCATTGTATAATAGCCAAAGATAATGCTTTTGTTATGACCACTGTATCATGGCCACAGATAATGCTTTTGTTATGACCATTGGTTATCTTTCTATTGCGTCAACAGTCCCTACAGTTTACAATCGCTCTGCAGGATTGATCTTTTATATGATCCTGTGTATTTAATGGATCACAAAGGTCTCACTACAAGTGACAGACCACATTATAAACTGTCCATTGTTATAACATACATCTGCTTAACAATAGTGCTGCTTAAACATGATAAACTAGATAGAACATTATATTGATGAGTAGCCACAGCCTGGTGTGTCAGATTGGGGGTCCTGGTGAGGAAAGGCCTGAGGAACGCAGCATCTCCAGCCGCGTGAGTGTGTGTGTGTGTGCGTGTGTGTGCGTGCGTGCGTGCGTGTGCGTGCGTGTGTGCAGGCCTATGTGCACCTGTGTGTGCCACTAGACATGTGTAGCAGTTGATTCTGGGTCAGCCATGTAAATGGACGGAGATGAATGGGTGGTTAGGGGCTGTAAATCAGGCTCGGTCCAAGTCAGGCTGGCCCTGTTTAACCACAAGATGTCCCACTGCGGCCAAATTGGACAAAGATGTTTTACTTCCTTTCCCCCATAAAGTCTGGTGGACTCAAATCTTCCAAATGTGTTTCCAGCTGTTGCTATGTGTGTGCGTGTGTGTGTGTGTGTGTGTGTGTGTCTGTGGATCTGGTTGATTCATGTCTCCTCTCCTCTCCTCTTTCCTCTCCTCTCTCCTTTCCTCTCCTCTTTCCTCTTTCACCTCCTCTCTCCTCTCTTCTTTCCTCTCCTCTCTTCTTCCCTCTCCTCTCCTCTTTCCTCTCCTCCTCTTTCCTCCCCCCTTTCCTCTCCTCCTTCCTCTCCTCATTCCTTCCCTCTTTCCTCTCCTCCTTCCTCTCCTCTTTCCTCTCCTCTCCTCTTTCCTCCCCTCTTTCCTCTCCTCTTTCCTCCTCTCTTTCCTCTCCTCTTTCCCTACTTTCCAGCCAGGGTCAGACCTTGGCTGGTAGGAACATCTAGGCTTTTTCCAGTGACTGGGAAGCCTTGGTGACATTTGTCAAACATAAAATCTGCTCACTCAGCTAGAATGGAAACACACTTGTGTCAACAGTGGCGCTACAAGCCACAAACAGACACACACATACACACACCCACAAAAATGCAGATGCACGCACGCACGCACACACACACACACACACACACATACACACTCTGGGTTTTCTGGACCTTCTCAGAAGACCCTACTGAGGATTACAGGGCCCCATTCCCAGCTTCAGCAGCAGAGAGGCTAATATCCTGTGTGTGTTCATGAGGGAAAGTGGCGACTCCCAGTCCCTACTACTTCCAGCATAGCATTTGGCTTTCTATTCTGTTTGCCTCCCCCATCATTACCCTTCTATTTCCTCCCCCATCATTACCCTTCTATTTCCTCCCCCATCATTACCCTTCTATTTCCTCCCCCATCATTAACCTTATATTTCCTCCCCCATCATTACCCTTCTGTTTGCCTCTCCCATCATTACCCTTCTATTTCCTCCCCCATCATTACCCTTATATTTTCCTCCCCATCATTACCCTTCTGTTTGCCTCCCCCATCATTACCCTTCTATTTCCTCCCCCATCATTACACTTATATTTTCCTCCCCCATCATTACCCTTTTGTTTGCCTCCCCCATCATTACCCTTCTATTTCCTCCCCCATCATTACCCTTCTATTTCCTCCCCCATCATTACCCAGCCAGTCCAGTGCCAATGGAAACAAATGTAAGCGTCTGTATCTCCTTTTGTTTGTTGACCGGAGCGCGCGCACACACACACACACACACACACGTTGACCTCACGCCACCACACTGACACAGTGGTTTCCATTAACGTGATGTAATACTGTCAGATATCTCCACATTTCAGATCTGCAAGCTTTCTATTACCCACTAAAATGAAAGACTGAAAAAAACCATAGAACCAGACACAATCGATACAAGGAAGAACTCCATATTTTTAAGTGGTTGGGTCTGTTGGGGAAATCTTATATGGTTTTATCTAAACGAAATGCAGATCCCCAGAGCTGTAAGAGGTTGCATGTGACTGTGGGTGCGTCTCAAATGGCACCCTATTCCAGCTGATTCCCTATGTAGTGTTCTACTTTTGACCAAAGAAGTGTACTAAATAGGAAATAGGGTGCCATTTAGGATGCACACTGTGAGGTAGCAGGATGGATTGTTCAGTCACATCTGTGTTGGATGGGGCTTAAAGGGGAGTTTAAAGCAGGTCGGGAAGGACGAGTTGAGGTCATGTCATCAGACTTTTCAGAGCATGATAACAACACCACAGAGCCCCAAAAAGGACCAGCTTGGTCCCAGATCTGTTGTGTTGTCTTGACCATTTCTATGATCATTCTATGGTGCCAAACTTGGGATGACAAGGACCATAACAGTTGGCTGTACAGCACACACCGGTTTGAGAATAGATTAATAAAGGACAGTTGCTGTAACACAATACAGTACGATATCAGACGGTCTTTGAGATGATGTCCTTGAAATATCTTTCAGCCTACATATCATATCGCCCCCTATTGGTAAGACTCAGTCTATCTAAACTACAGGGGCATGTTCTTAGGGCACGCAACAGAAAACATTATAAAATGAGCCTTTATCATTGGACAAGTCCAGGTAGTCCGTTCCTGTTTAACGAAAACAAATGTCTCTCAATGGATAAGTCCAGGTAGTCCCTCCTTGTTTCAAACTGTTTCTTTTTTCTCCATTTGGTGCCTAATGAAAACAACCAGTACAGTAACGTTAGCCAAAATCCAACTGTCTCTTACCTGGCTTAGTGACTTCACAGCCCTTGTTCCTAAGAATGTCATCCATGGATGTGTCGAACAAGAAGCGAACGTTCTGCAGTAACCCCTGCTTGACAAGACAAGAGGCTGTTATGTGTCACATTGAACTAGCAGCTAGGAACAGCTTTTTTACTATTCACTTACCTTGAGCTAGTATGTCAAGTAAACAAATACAGAATGAGTTATTCTTACTGGCTAACATTAGACTCAAAATGACTTAAGGGGCAAGATCTGAAATGGTGTCCTATTCCCTATTTCTGGTGCACTACTTTTCTGGACAGAAGTAGCACACTGTAGAGAGAATGGGGTTCCATTTTGGATGCACTTCATGTCACATTTATTGGTCTACCTCCTTGTTGAACCCTTAAACTCTCCTTAAAGGGAGGACCATTGGTGTTCTACATTAAGCTTGGAGTCGTGTCCCGTGAAGTGCACCTACAAGTTATAAATGACAGGCTCAGGTAAAACCACAAAGGTCCGTGTAATCTGTCCATAAAAATGTTCTCTCATAATCACATGATTTACTTCTTTGTAATTGCTAGATGGTTTCTTAATTTCTTAAAGCTTTATTATGACTAAGACTAAGAGTAGGCTAGGACTTTGGAAGTGGTGTAGTAGGGCTTTTATTTTTAACAAAGAAACACCCTACAGAAGACCACAAAAGTAATAAAGTGCAGAAGGAAAATTGAAGTTTCTCCCTTATACAAATACCAAAGATCACAGTCGGAAAGGTTTTTTTTTTACTGCTGGGAACAGTTTCAGTTGAACACTATAATATAGGTATATTCCACAGGACTAATTCTTACCCTGAAGTGGTTTTCACGAATGGATCCCTTGGCGACGAACATTCGGCTCCCCTCCGCCTGCAGGTGCTCATAGAACGGCTCATCCAAGATGAAGCTGTCGATGAGACTGCAGCCCACAAACAGATTTGCATTTTCGCCATGAACATGAAGTGTGATATTCTTCCACTGCGAGTCGGACAGGTCAACATCCTCGAAGGAGACGACATTTTGGGAGCCGTCCACCCAGTAGACAAGGTCCAGCGTGTTGGCGCGGCCGTTGGAGACTATTTCAAACTGCCGCTGGCCGTTGGCGCCTTCCAAGGCGATGAGGGTTCCCCGCGAGCTGCGGTCCTGGCGCATGCTGGCCACAAACACGAAGCCCTCGTTGTTCTGGATTTGCTGAAGCATCTGTTTGAGCACGGGCGCGCTCACTGAGGGCAAATGGTCAAAGCGGATGAAGCGGTAAGCCGGATTGTCAGTGTCTTGGCCGCGGAATTGCTTGGCGCCCATTGTCTTGCGTGTGATTCCGCTAATATCAAACAGGTCAAACGTCGTGTCGTCATCCAACGTGACCTCGCCATCTTCAATCAGTCATACAGGGGATAGATAGGGAGAGGAGAATGTGTACAGCCAATTAGCTTGATGAAACAACAATGCATTCTAAGAAAATCTGACCAAGTGATTATAACTATGTCTATAGCAGGGCTCTCCAACCCTGTTCCTGCTGCAACTAGCTCTCACAGTCTCACATCAGACGTTCATCCATGATTCTCAATCATCAAATTTCGAAGTTGTTGCAAACCTCAAATTTCAAAGTGTTTAAGGCTAAGTTTAGGTATTAATTATGAATTTTTAAGGTTAGGGTATTAACACCGAAATCCAAATGGTTAAGGTTTGGGATAGGCTTAAAACAAAAATCTCAAAAACAACTTTCTATCGCTGGATTCAAACTTGCAAACTTTAGAATCAGAGAACGATGCTTACACCCGTCTGCCATCCCCTTCTGCAACACCCTGGAAAACCGAAACCTACTTGAAGGTAACAGCGCCCCTAGTGGGTGGTTTCCACATCATCTCCCGACGTCCTCAGACATGGATGGATGTCGAATACTGACTTGTATCATGGGTGACCTGGCTGTCCTGGAGAGCAACTCTCCTGTAGGTTTTTGTTCCAACCCCAGTTGTAACTAACCTGATTCAGTTTATTAACCATCTAATTATTAGAATCAGGTGCGCTAGATTAGTGTTCGAGCTAAAAAACCTACAGAACGGTAGCTCTCCAGGAACAGGGTTGGAGTTAAAACCTACAGAACGGTAGCTCTCCAGGAACAGGGTTGGAGTTAAAACCAGAACGGTAGCTCTCCAGGAACAGGGTTTGAGTTAAAACCTACAGGACGGTAGCTCTCCAGGAACAGGGTTGGAGTTAAAACCTACAGAACGGTAGCTCTCCAGGAACAGGGTTGGAGTTAAAACCTACAGAACGGTAGCTCTCCAGGAACAGGGTTGGAGTTAAAACCTACAGAACGGTAGCTCTCCAGGAACAGGGTTTGAGTTAAAACCTTCAGGACGGTAGCTCTCCGGGAACAGGGTTTGAGTTAAAACCTACAGAACGGTAGCTCTCCGGGAACAGGGTTGGAGTTAAAACCTACAGAACGGTAGCTCTCCAGGAACAGGGTTTGAGTTAAAACCTACAGGAGGGTAGCTCTCCAGGAACAGGGTTGGAGTTAAAACCTACAGAACGGTAGCTCTCCAGGAACAGGGTTGGAGTTAAAACCTACAGAACGGTAGCTCTCCGGGAACAGGGTTGGAGTTAAAACCTACAGAACTGTAGCTCTCCGGGAACAGGGTTGGAGTTAAAATATCCAGGAACGGGGTTGGAGAGCCCTGGCTATAACTTAACGGGGTATGCTTTTATGCACAAGCAAAAGTGACAGCATCATATTCAGTCATGATTCATTTTTTAAATCTAGTTAGTATGAAACCTACATCACAATTATTAAACAATAAAAATGAAATGGCATTGAGGTTATGACAATGATGATGAAAAGTCGTATAAACTTTACGCATAAGTTGATTTACCTTGAGGTAGTGCTGAAGAGCAAAGTAAAAAAATCGGCAGCAAGTTGAGACTTCTGAGTATCATATCTCCTTCAAAACACAAGAGACAGGGAAACCGCAAACTGAAAGTTGTTAACTTTATCAGGATTGTAATGACTATCTCATAAGTAAAATTGTAAAATCTTTCTAGGCTATCTATTTTTTATTCACCCTCTGCTCAGCTGTCATAAAGCGACACCAAGTTAATTGCAATTGTGAATACTGAAGTTCTCAGTCATGCCATTACAAGTGCATAATGTCAAATCCACAGATCTGCTTCAACAATAGCAACGCAGTAAAGTAGACTAACTGTCTCCAAAAGTAACACAGATGTATCGACGAAGATACAACAATTACTCACCTTACAATGTGCACATAAAGTATATGTGGGCTGCTATAGGCTATTGGGAAAAAAATATATACACTACTTCTAAAACAATTTCTTAAAATGCATAACGTTTACCAAAACGAATTAATCACATAACAAAATATAAGTGTGCTACATTCTTTAACTAAATTATTCTGACTAGCAGTAAACTTGAAAATTATGGCAACATTGCTGATTGTTTTTGAAAATGCAAAAAAAATCCCCATACACATTGGAATGTAACAACTTACCGGGTGAAAATGCAAATTCCCTTTGAAAAAATCCGTTAGATATCCAATAATAAAAAAGAAGGTAATAACAAATATATTATTCTGATAAATATGAATAGTGTAATGAAAACGGAATAACTCCTACAACCCCTATAACCCGGTGCGTAAAATGTAAAGTCCGCTTGGTTTACTTCACTAGATCAACATTATGCAGGGAGGACTCGAGCGATAGTGGCTTAGGCACCAGTCTCCCTCCCTCCTATATACTCCTCCCTACGACCCTGTCAGTCAAGTTTAAGTATGAAATGTTTGTAACCGATTTCTAAGGCTGAATTACACAATTCCGTTCTGATAGCGTAATTTGCTTGTATCTGTTTAAAGCGGCAGTTACAGGCCCCATGACCCCCTCCCTCGCGCTCTCTCGTTCCTCAATCCAACCTCTCTATCAAGCCCACTTCATTACCGAAGTCACAACGGAATCGGGTTTCGGGGAGGAGTTATTGTTGGAGAGAACGTGATAGCGAGGTGGGATGTGAGGCTTGCACTGGCTTTTAGTTCTGGGAGCAGTGGTGTGTCCAGGTGGTGGTCCAGGGTGACCACGGCCCCCCTGAATTCTGATTAGCCACCCCAGTGGCCTCCCCAGAAATTCTGAGATCTGATAGGTCGTCTCTGAATATATTGATAATTTTGACCAAGACTTGCACCGACAGCAAGACTCATCAATCTCACCAGAGAAAGCATCTGGGTGAGCGAAACAGCGGCCCTCTGTCTTAATATGTGTAGCCCGTGTATCTGATGCTGTCTGGCCAAAAATAGTATCAGTATTAGAAGTCATATTATTTTTGTCCAGACAGCATCAGATACATGGGCTACAGATACTAAGACAGAGGGGCATTGTTTGCCTCTTTCAGGTGCTTTCCTATGGTGAAATAGATTCAGCCTCTTGCGAATTGAAGGAAAATCACACTGAACAAAAATATAAACGCAACATGTAAAGTGTTGGTCTCATGTTTCATGAGCTGAAATAAAAAATCCCAGAAAGTGTCCATACACACAAAAAGCTTATTTCTCACAAATGTTGTGCACAAATTTGTTTACATCCCTGTTAGTGAGGATTTCTCCTTTGCCAAGATAATCCATCCACCTGACAGGTGTGGCATATCAATAAGATAATTAAACAGCATGATCATTACACAGGTGCACCTTGTGCTGGGGACAATAAAAAGCCACTTTAAAATGTGGAGTTTTGTCACAAAACCCACTGCCACAGATGTCTCAAGTTTTGAGGGAGCGTGCAATTTGCATTCTGACTGCAGGAATGTCCACCAGAGCGGTTGCCAGAGAATTGAATGTTAATTTGTCTAACATAAATTGCCTCCAACGTCGTTTTAGAGAATTTGGCTGTACGTCCAACCGGCCTTACAACCCCAGACCATGTGTAACCATGCCAGCCCAGGACCTCCACATCCAGCTTCTTCACCTGCGGGATCGTCTGAGGAGGGGTGAGGGGAATGCTGAGGAGTATTTATGTCTGTAATAAAGCCCTTTTGTGGGGAAAAACTCATTCTGATTGGCTGGGCCTGGACTATTTCTGACTGGCTGGGCCTGGAGTATTTATGTCTGTAATAAAGCTCTTTTGTGGGGAAAAACTCATTCTGATTGGCTGGGCCTGGCTCCCCAGTGGGTGGGCCTGGCTGCCAAGTGGGTGGACCTATGCACCCTTGCCCAGTCATGTGAAATCCATAGATTAGGGCCTAATGATTTATTTCAGTTGACTGATTTCCTTATATGAACTGTAACTCAGGAAAATCTTAGCAATTGTTGCATGTTGTGTTTATATTTTTGTTCAGTAATTACAAATCATTTTATACGTTTGTTAATTTTTTTATAGTTAAACATTTTGACATCCATGAATATACGACACTTTGTAGGCTGAATGTCATTAAATTTATGGTGTTTGTAATAGATGTCCCTTTCCATTCAAATGGCGGGTGCACAGTGCACTGTTCGGATACTTTACATATTTTGGAGTAGACGAACATGCGCAGGTAACCTACTTAACCTACATTTAAAAGTGATTTATTTGACAATCAGATGAAAATATCATGACTGGTTGTGTTCAAAACACATTAAAAGTTAATACATGTTTTGTTAAATTACATGTCTTTACTATAAAGCCATAAAAACGATTTGTGCATGCGAAAGTGCGTGCACACATAGGAGGTCCCGTCCCAAAAAATGGAGATTCCCGAATGTCACGGTATAATTCGCACTCTGGATGGCACTTTCAAGTGCATTTACTGCTGTATGCTAATACCCTTATTTAAAATTCTGAACTTTAATGCAAACACTATAACAAGACTTTTGGAATTGATTTATGATTTATTTGAACAGGGAACTGTACCAAACCTAAGCTGAAGCATTTAATGCGCTGAACCATCATAATTATATTTTAAAAAATCCAGCTTGCATCGGTTAAGGTTCAAAATGTTATGGCCCCCCTAAACTGGGTCTGTGCCCCACCTTGGCCACCCCATTCAAAATGTTCTGGACACTCCTATGTCTGGGAGCGCAAAGCACTTGGTCGCGAGGAACTGAATGAAGCACACACTAACCGCATCTTTTCTGTGGATTCACGCAGGATGCTGAAAGACTTGATGCACAGGATGCTGAAAGACTGTTGCTTGGTTACGGTTTCCATGTGGCTGTAAATAAAAAATAAATCCGCTCTATAACCTATAGTCTTTGGAGTGCAGTCTTTTTCAAAACGTTCCCAAAACGTTTACGCACATGTTTTTCTGTTAGTTTATTTAATAACTCGGAATTTTAACAATTCTTAAGGCAAGCACATCAACTGCAGCCTTCCTATTCAAACTATAGGCTTTGTTCTACTTTTTTTTATCAGACCAGACCACCAGCATTCATTATATTAGGCTATAGTTCACCGATGCCTGTTCAAGTGTACAATGAATGAATGTGG